CAGAAGGTGAATAAAGTCTGTAGTTTGCAGACCCGGGGGCCTGTACAAAATATTCATCACCCTCCTCCTCCTCCTTAGCAGCATCCAAAATAAGACTGGAATAGTGACAGCCACCAATACAGCAGCAAAACATGAAATATTTCCTGATTTAAAGTTGGGGCTCTCCCCAGGTGGTGCCAAGGAGGTGGATCACCTACCTGAAGCAGCAGCAAGGGGGGACGCAGACAGCCCGGTGCCTGCCCCGTCCCCCCTATCCTGTATACATTTGCCTATATATATACACGCTTTTTTTTCCTCTTTTCTGGCCTGAAGTAGGGTTTTTTAAAGCGAACGCAGCTCTGTGTGTGTCTCAGCATTTAGATGGGGGGGTTTGAAGGTCAGCTTCATAGCAGATGTGCTGCAAAAGGCTGGATATGAGTATTTTGTAGCAGCATTTATACACACATACATACACCCAATTACCCTTCCTTAGGAAGTACAGCTGCGCTCAGCTAAAAGCTACAATTATTTAAAGCCTGAAAATCACTTTGTTTTCCCTCATCAAAGCTAATATGCCCAAATATCTTTCACAGACCGAAAATACACAACCACCTCTTTTTGGGGTGCAAGAAGAGATGCTCCTGTTCTGCAGGGGGTTACCGAGGCAGGCAGAGCTGGAGGCAGCGGGGGGCGATTAAACGCTATATGCCCAGGTATACATTGCCGAATTCCAGCACCTCGAGGTGCCATCCGGCAGCGATACGCTCTACCCCGTTTCCCGTGCAACATCATCCCTCCAAACCATTATATAACCCGGCTTTAAAGCAGGATTTATTCTTTCTCCCGAGTCGTGCCACCCCGATGATTACTCAGCACAAATTCGCTGTAAACAACGTCCCCGCTTCGGTCTCGCTCATCGCCTATTGCCCCCCAGCTCATCCTTTCCTTACCTGGCTCCTCAGCGCCGAGCATCCTTCTTCTCCTCTTTCTCCTCCTCCTCTCCCGGCCCCTGCGGCAGAGCGATGAGGAGCCCGGCTGCGCTCCCCGGCGCCGGCGTCCCTCGCGTCACCCGCCGGCGCTCCCCGGGTCACGGCGCGACGATGAACATGGGACGCCGCCGCCTGGGAACTGCCGGCAGCGCCGGCCCCTGCCGCCTTATATTTGGGATTAGGGAGACTCGGGGAAGGATGAGGATGGAGGCAGAGATATCACATCGTCGAAAATGTGGCATGGAGTGGGATCTGGAGTCTGCAGGTCTGATCCATCGAGTACAAACCTAAGCAATCTTTTTTCTTCACACCCTCACCCCACCCCCCCCTTTTAAATTATTTTGGAGAAGGTTTAACCAGCAGCAATACAGCATGTCAAAGCCTTGCAGAGCTGGGAACAGGGCAATGTGCTACTTGAGGCACTTTCCCGTGTACCCCGGAAGACTGATGCTATCAACACACTATTAATTGCCCCTAAATCTTCATCACAGCATAATTACAGCTATGAATGCCATTGCATTGTGGTAATTCCACATTATCTACCTTGGGTATCCCCTCTCCCCACTGCATCGGAGCATCCCAGCTCTGCACAGCACCCAGGGCAAGCAGAGCTGATGGGGAAATGACCAAGGAGTTGGTCATTTCCAGGTCCCCAAAAGGACAAGTTAAAATAACTGGGCTGTAAATAAACAATGCAGAAAGCAAATAAAGAATAATATACCACGCATCTTACCTGAAGGAATCCGTGTTGCACAATATATACAAATATAAGCAAAAGGTGGGAATTTTAATGCTCCCCTGACAGCACGTGGGGACAGCCAAGGCTTTGGTCTCAGCTTGATTTTGGCACTTCTCTCGTATCCCTTTGCTTTTTGACCTCCAAACTCAAACTTTTGTTTTTAGACTCTGTTCATTTTCTAGCTTACGTAGCTGTTTCTCCTCCTTGTATTTATCTGCCCTTGCACCCCCGGAGGCGATGCATCCCCTCTCTGTCTCCAGATTGCCTGGACCCTGCACCCCAGCATCACCCGCATCCCTCCCAGCGGGTCTGGCTCCTTTGTCCATGGGTGCCAAAGCCGACCCACAGCCACACCTCTGCTTTCCCACCTCCTCAGCAACGGTTTTACTGCTTATCTCCCTTTTTAAAATTTCTCCTTAATCATTTCAGAGTCTTTGCTTATGCCAAAGAGAGAGGACTGAGGGCCCTGAGCTGGGAATTAAAGGGCAATGCAAAAAAAAAGGATTGGATCTGCAAGCCGGTAGCAATGGGCGGAGGCACTTGGGCTTACAGCTTTTAATTCCCTCTCTCAAAATTCCTGTGATGGATTACACGGGGCACAGGCAAGAGCTGGAGCCTCGCTGCGCCTCGTGCTCTCCAGTGTTTTTATTGAGGGGAGTTAAATAGGAAAATAAAATAAATCTACTTCACGTGCAACAAGGATGGGAGGGCAGCAGCAACCAGCTTCATCTGCATGGCCAGAAGTGGCTTTTTAACTGGTATTTTGGATTATATATCAAATAAAGGAGCTGTAAAACAGGAATGAATAGCAGTGTTGTGCCCAAAACCTGGGGATTCCCTTTACTGAGGGATTTTCTTCTGTATTCAAGGGGGGATGCTCTGACTCCTTCCCCCTCTTCTTCTTCCTCATCTGCTCCTATGAAGAAAGGGGCTCAGCGCCCACCGGGTGTAACTCACACATGGACACTGCCAGCACAGGGATAAGCAGGAGAAAAAAATACCTTTATTTACATCTTTTTGAGCAGTAACACAGCAGCGGCGATTCACCGGGAAGAAAACAGCGTGCGGGGAGACCCTTCCTCCCACCGCACAGTATCCGGGGTCGGTACAAAATCGCTGTGGCTTTAGAAAAGGTGCCGGGTTCACAGTAAAGTACCAAAGGGGAGGAAAGGCAAGGGACACGTTAATCACTTTGGGATCGCATCCCTGCCAGTATTTGGTCTATGAAAATGCACTGTACAATAAATCTTGTAGAAAAAATCTATCCCAACGGCTCGATGCATGCAGCTGTGGGATTTCCACATCTACCCAACGGCTCAAAGCCTTTAAAAACAAGCGCTGGGGCGGCTCTCTTGGGGGAGAGACATCTGCGAGCCCTGTCGATCCTCACAGGAGGCATTTTCCAGCAGGGAAGGATGAAAAATAAGAGCTAGGCAAGGGAAAACAAGGAGCAGCCCCTCTGCCTCCCATTCACCCCTCTAGAACCACCCGTTGCAGCTTTTATAGCCTAAAAAATGCCCCCCATCATCTCCTCCCCTCCTGCCCAACACTGTTAGAAAATACAGCACGTGTGTTTTTGCTATTTCTAGGTTTGTGTTTAAAAACAGCCTAGACCTTTGTACAAGGGTCGTGGGAAAATTTAAAAATCTGTCTTAAATAGGATTTCGTTGCAGGGGGTAAGATTTGCATCCTCCCAGCCTGATCCCTCTGCTCCCACTCAGGAAATTCCCACCCGGAGCGGGACACAGAGCCCTCCCAGATGCCCAATGGCTTCTGGCTCCATTATCAGGGCAATGACAGAGAGACAAATATCAGGGTCTCCTCTGATAGCATTGGGATGCAGGCGGGATAAAAGACCCTGCAGGGATAAAAGACTCCCAGGGATGCACTGAACTTTTGCACGTGCATCCCTAAAAAAGTCGGTCAGGTCCCCGTCCCCTGGCACAGGGCAGGAAAAATTAAAAACGGTGCCATTTCAGCCACAGAAACTTGCCCAGGCTGCTCTAATGAATCAACTGGGTGTCAGGGAGCGTCAGATTTCTGCCCCTCACCCTGCAAAGCCACCCATGCCAGACCGTAGCACGCCCTGCGGATGCAAGCAGCTTCACACAGAGCTCCCAAAAATAAACACTGAAATTCAGCGCTTTTTAAAATATTCTAAAACCTTTAAAAATACCCATCTTGCTTTATTTTTCTTAAATATATAGTCTATAAAATAAGGCAACTCCAGGAGACAAAAAACATCTCCATGGCTTAGGTACTGTATCCTGCTACCAAAGCGGGGTCCAGTACTTCCAGTCAAGAAAAGCTGCTCCATGTGGCCAAAAAGCTGGAGAAGAGGAGCAGCATACTCAGAAAACGCTGAAAATCTGGGGGAAATGGTGGGTGCAGCCCTCAGTGGCCCAAGGGCTCTCATCCCTCCTAGGAGTTTTGGGGACGGGACTGAGGCTGCTGCAGTGGAGCACCCCATCTCCAGGGGACCACAGGGAGAAAGGCAGCACGGAAAATGGAATGAGTTGGTTTCTCCCTAAAAGTGAAGCACGTATTATCATAAAACTTTGGGAGAAACTCTTGGACCATGACAGTATCTTGGAATATTAAAAGCTATAAACAAGGTAAGCCCAAAGGTGTCACAGCATCTCAGCAACACGAGACTGTACAGCAGCTTTTTAAATCAGGGGTTTCGTCTCTCTCGATGGAAGAAGCATGAGTGTGTGTTTTACCTCCAATGTTTTCTTTCTTTTGGGTGTATTAATGCTGGAAATGTGACCTTCGTGTTTCTGAGCTTCGTAGCACAAATGTTTTCCACGTTGCTCACCAATTCCCACTGGGCTAAATCTTGCTTTTTAAAGCCTTATTTCTCTGAGAAATACATTTAATAGAAAATAATTTCTATGTTCAAAAAAAACCAACCCAGAGGGTAATCTGCAGTCAACAGTGCTGTGGAGCTACAGGATGGCACGTTGAGGGCTCAATCTGGGGTTTGATGGGGTGGCAGGGCCATCATGGCAAGCCATGTAAACCCAATATGATCATTACCCAGCTTTGCACCACTGATCTGTGGGTGTACCTGGTCCCTAATTCTTTGTAGCCTCAAAAGAGGAAAAGAAAACCCCTATTCTAGCAGATTTGACCTTATAAGCAAAGATCTTTTCACCCTGATGCTGGCTATAACAGCGTATCCATCAATGTCACCCCACTCACCCGGGGAAGGGATTTTAGATACCACCCCACCACACAGTCCCAGCCCAAATCCGTCACTGAATTAACTTGGGTTCCTGGACACAAGGCGTTCAGTTCTCCTCATCCGAGAGGATGGGCGGGATCTTGCTGGAAAGCAGGGCGTACACATAGGGCCAGATCTTGTTGGTCTCTGTCCCCGAAAAGGAGTGAAGGATGCCCCTACTCCTGGAAGAGAGACGGAAGGAGAAGGCAGGGGTATTTATCCTGCTCTGATTCTTTTTGCAGGGTGACCCCACAGCATGTCCTGCCCTGCATCTGCCCAGATTTGGGTTTATTTGAGGTGAGATAGGAAGGGGCATGTAGGGGGAGAGCTGCTCTCTGCAAAGCCACTGTCCCCACCACCTGCAGACCCTCAGTTTGCTCAGCTTTGCATGGGCAGGGTCTGAGGCATCTCAAGAGCTTCTCCATCTCTTGTGCTGGAGTTTTTAGCACCTCTGCAAAGCAAGGAGGTTTTCCACCCTCCAAAGTGAAACTGGGAGTAGAAAGCATTTGCAAGCGCAATCTGCCGCAGGCAAAAAATCCCTTCCACGGCCGGCATCGGCAAAGCCGAAGACAAACAGGAGCGGTGAACATCCTCACATCAGCCTCCTCCCTCCAAACAGGGCCAGGGCTTGGTTGCAACAAAGGGCTGGGCTTTGTGCTGCTGAGCGCAGCAATCAGTCCCCCAAAATCTATCAGGGGCTGTGAGCTGATGGGATGGGGATATGGGACTGGTTGGTGGAAATGGCACTGGTGCTGGTTTCCACGGGCATGCTGTGGTCCCACTCACTTGTAGAGCTCTATCACCGGCTTTGCAGCATCTTTGTATTTTCGGAGCCGGGCAGCGACAGCCTCGGGTCTGTCGTCCTGGCGCTGGACCAGCGGCTCTCCCGTCAGGTCATCGACGCCCTGTGGGGAGCCAAACGCCATCACGGGGACACCACCACCCGCCCCTCACCTGCTCCCCATCACACAACCACTGCCAAATGCCTTGGCCTGCTCTGTGTCCATCCAGCATCCTTGGACAGCATTTAAGAGAAATCCCATTTTCCTAACTATAATTAACTGGGGGAGTTCAGCCTGGAGAAGAGGAGGTGAGGGGAGACCTTATCCCCTCTACAGCTCCTGAAAGGAGGGGGTAGAGGGGGAGTGGTCGGTCTCTGGTCCCCAGGAACAAGCGATGGGATGAGAGGAAATGGCCTCAAGTTGTGCCAGGGCAGGGTGAGATTCGATCTGAGAGGAAATTTCTTCACTGAAAGAGTGGTCAAGCACTGGAAGGGGCTGCCCAGAGCAGTGGTGGAGTCGCCAGCCTTGGAGGGGTGCACAAACTGTGTGGACGTGGCGCCTGGGGACATGGTTTGGTGGTCATGGTGGGGTTAGGTTGATGGCTGGACTTGGTGATTTTAGAGGGCTTTTCCAACCTCAGTGAGTCCATGATTTAGCACAAGTCCTTCAGGCAAAGCCCTCTGGAGCTCAGTGCTTACAACCTGGGATTTCTTCCCTGATGCTTCTTTACGACCCCAGCTCACACAGATAAAGGTTTCTCCCATCTTTTCCCTCTGTGAATGGCTCCCAGGTGGCACCGGAGGCTCTTACCTGGATGTGGGGGGGGTTGAAATCCATGTTGTACACCCTCCCGCTGGCGGGGTGCACCCAGCGGGCGCTCAGGCGGTCCTTCAACGTCTCGAAGGGGATATTCAAACTGATCACCAGGTCCAGCTCGCAGATCCTGTCCAGCGCCTCCGCCTGCCCCAGAGTCCGAGGGAAACCTGCGTGGGCATCGCCACGGAAAGGGGCTGTCACAAGAGGCAGCAACGGAGCCACCACCACAGCGGCAAAACCACCGTGCCGTAGCGCAAGTGGTGAGAAAGACAGGCAGCCACCATATGGCTACAGGAAAAAATAGCTCCTGCAGCACCGGCTCCCAAAATACAGCACACAGGGCATCGCGGGCTCGTGTTTCCCTGCAAAGTCGTGTCTGACGCAGGGCTGGTGTCCCCATGCAGGGGCTGGAGGCAAGGGAAGGGGCACAGGCAGCAGCAAAATGCTGATAAATGCTGGAATTAGGAAGCAAAGCCTGAAGGAAATAAAATGCTGTGTATAGATGAGTAACACACTGCTGGTTTACATGGAGGACATCAAGGATACCATGATAAAATGGTTTGCACATTATCCAGCTCTCGGAAACCCCTGTACCAGACAATATCTTTTGTTTGGAAAAGCCAGTGAGCTGGAGCATCCACTCTCACTGCTGGACCACCCCCAGGGGTAACTCCAAGCTGGTCCCATCCCCAGTCTTTTCTGCTGACAACCTCCTTTTTTCATTTCTCTAAACTCTTTTTACACCCTCTGAGACCTCCCAGGCTTTTCCCAAGCGGAGCATCATTATCTGTTAATTACATTATGAAAGGGATCCCTGGAAATAAATCAGCTCCTGGTCATGGTACTGCTGGATGGGGGCTCTGACTGCAGCCACCGCTCACACCCCCAGGCAGATGAACTCCCCCAAAATTAAGAGGAATGCAACAGTGTGTGGCTGCCATGATAAATCAATGTCCCGAGCTGCAAAAACCCACATCTGCGTCAATGCAAACCCCCATCAACATACTGAAAGGCCAGAGTTTTAATACAACAAAATATGTATCTGTTAATCGTCATGTTCCTTCATAAATTAAAAGGCATTATTGTAAAAAAAATATTATTTCAAGAACAGTGAAATTTTAATAGTGAGGATTGATGGGCATGTTCAAGGCAGCCTGGTCCTACGGGGCTTGAGGTCTCTGATGTCCTCCCTGCGAGCCCGGTGGGGTGACACTGCTGGACCCCGCCAGCGCCAATGCTGCTGGGTCCTCAGTGCCAGCTGGGGTGAGAAGAGCTTGGCTAGACCCCAAGAGCCAGCAGAAGCCACCCCTCCTCTGGGGCCACCAGGGTCACATGGGAAGAAGCCCACGTCTACCACCCTCTAGTACAGATGGCACCATTGGTACTTGCCAGCTCCACTGGCAGCGATGCAGCTTCACCGCTCCTGGGCAAATCCTCAGCAGCAAAATAACAATAAAAATAAATAACAATAATTTAAAGAGAGGGGGGATTTTCCTGTCCGGAGGGGCTGCGGGCATCTTGCTCACCATCAAGGAGCCAGTGCTGGTCCCGCCGCTTCTCCAGCTCCGCCATCATCACGCGCGTGATGACGTGGTCTGGCACCAGGAGGCCGCACTCAAGGTACTGCTTTGCCAAGACTCCCATTTCTGTGAGAGAGAGAAAAGAGAAAGAAAATTTTTAAAAAAGCATGACATTTCCGCTTGAAAAATATCACTCCCCCTCAAATTCTGCCCATCCTCCCAAACCGCTCATCCATTTCAGCAGCAGCCTTCTGCTCATAGCTGCTGCTCCTATGTGCTCTCCATGTACAACCATTGTCAGGAAACACTGGCATCAGCATTTATAAATGATCTGAAGAGATGCAAATTCATTATTTCAATGCAAAATGCAGCAGTAAACAGGCATCACCAGTGAGCTCATGCGAAATCCAAACCTCAACCTGTTGGTTAAACCACAGCTGAAGGCAGAAGAGGGCTTCCCACCCAACGCGCTTCAAGGCTTCGGAGCCTCAACTGCAGATACACTTGGATAAGACAGATCTGTTCCAAGATCAAACCCTTGAGGACATGATCATGGTGTAACTGGAAGGTAAATGCACCTTCCCAGGCTCCTGTCTGCCTCTCAGAGCCAGCGGTGGTTTCTGCACCATGGCTGGATCCACCTTCACCGCAACCAAAGTCATAAAGGTTTATTCTGCTTATATTTTTATTGCAGCTGTTACTTCAAGGAGAGATGCAATAAATTCAGTCGCTTCTTATGTTACAGATTGCCTGCGATTTTATTTTAGCCACCCAGAGACACAAAGAAATGCTCTGAAGAATATATGGCAAATATTCCTTGCCATCACAGACGACAAGTTCTGACCCTGCCACTAGGAGAGGTCCAGCCCCTTTCCTCTTGGGCCCAATGGACACCTCTTCTGGTGTTTTCCCGCAGCAGCTGAAACAGCACTTATCACCAGAAATGAGCCATTTTGCAATCAATTTTTGCAAGGTTTCTGGTGACGACAGCACATTTTAGCTCTCCTAAAGTACGAGTCCTGTCTAAAAAGAAAAAAAAAAAAGCCGCAGGATCCTGCATTTTGGAGGCAGGCTCTGGTTTTCCAGGCTGCAGCAAGACGTCAGATTGGGCAAACACCTGTGCCTGCCTGCAGGCAAAACTCCTGAGCCGCAGAAGGGGGTTTTTTGTAAAATATACGTTTTGTGGCAAGAATTCATGTGATATAATGGGGAAACCTGATGCAGCCTGCATGAAGCGTGGGGCCAGGGCGTTCACATGCTCCCAGAATGATCTGCAGAGGATGCCTGGTAGGAAAAGGGGGCAGGCTGGGGGGGGACAGGCTACCCATTGGAAATCTTCCTCCGATGGCAACCTCCATCCAAACGCAGGCAGGCAGCAGGCGCTGACTCACCAGCCCTTGGGGCTGAGTCACCACAGGGACGACGGGCACCGCGTCCCCCCA